GTCGCTAAATATCTCTTTTTTTTTTCTCTTGCTTCCAGACGGTGTCGTACGTGGTTAAAGAACGTTGCCACGGGGTCGCGTTCGTTTCCTTGATCCACTGACTATTGAACTCTCATATCCACGCATATATATATATCAAACACTCTTGTATCAAACATGCAAACAAGCACATTCTTTATAACATAGATTTTAATATTTTTCTTTTACTTTCAATTGTACACACATGGAATTCCTTTTGTTTTAACAACATGCATTTAATTTTTGTTTGCTTTAAATTCCATATTTTGTGTTTCTTGTTTTTACCCGTAGTCACATAGGTCCACCAAATATTGTTTGATAGACAAATGCACTAGGAGTCGTTTAATGTTAACCAAAAATATCTTGCCCCACAACAAAAGATGCAAGTCTCGCAATACCAGCAAGGGAATCAGTGGAATTTAAATATTTCTGTTTTTTTTTATAGGTCACAATGGATTGGTTTCCGTAAGTAAAATTATCTTATTTTATCTGCAAAAATATAATTAGACATGTACTTCTGCATTCAAAAATATATATATTGTTGCTTTTTTTTTTTTAAAGTTTATAATTACAAAAGAAATTTTAGCGAAAATAGAGAATAAAATTGTGGCAGACTTCACCACATTAATTTAACTTTAGATAAGGAAACAGGGCTGACGCAGAAAAGGATAACCAAAAGACATTGTTATTTATTTAACAAGATGTACAATATCAAACAACGATGTGAAGGAAAGCATACATTTAAGTAAGAAAAGGTTGAATAAACCAAGACTTGCCTATCTTTAACTGTTATTTTAGTGTTCCAAAGTTTACTGGAAGAATGCTCATGAGAGTCTCTTGTAATGTTTGTTCTTGAAAGCTTTTGCTGTGTAAGAAAAGATTATGTGAGTGTATACAAGGTATGTTCAGCATGTGAGTGGTGTGTGTGAGTGAGAAGGTTAGCGCATGGTTTTAACTGTCGTGGATTCGTTTGGCAGCTGAAATCTCACTAAAAAGTGTTAGAAAATTCTTGTTTAAATAAGTGACTGTAGACTCCAGATCGCTGCGCGGGAAGAATTATTCTTCACGTGCAAACGATCTGATTGGTTGGTATTGACCAATCAGCGAGCGAGCTTTGGGGAGACTTAAGAAAGTTTCTGTGATCCGTTTCTCCCAAAGGTTCACAAAATTGACTACATAAAAATAGAGCGATTACAAAATTGTCGCATTGCTGCGATTTGTAAATTGCCTATAATAACGTAGTGGTGATTAATTAACCAATGAATGCTTGGCGTTGTATGAGATTTGTATTTTTGTATGTATGTATGTTCGTGCGTAATAGATCCGCACAAACTCTTTATAAATTAAATTTAAATTTTAAATAAATTTATTAATGAGTGCAGAAAAAGTATCTGTTGGATGCTACGATGCAAATTAAGTTTTGTGATTGTCGATGAAGTATAAGTAAATGTACACCAGGCTGTTTGGAACTGTTTTGATATAGAAAAAGAAGAGGAGGAAGAAGAAGAATCATAAGAGATCACGTGATGAAACGTAAATAAAACAATGGCTTCCCTTTTAGTTTTACTTTTATGGACGTGTGTAGGAAATGCATGATATAGAATCGTTTTTTTTTTGTTATTTCGTTTCACTTTATCTTGAATTTTTAAGGATACAGTAAGTAACACCATTTCCAATAAATAACATAAGCAGTCGTCTTATACTTCTACTTAGGATAAATTCATGAAATTTTGCTATATATTGGGTTGGTGCATATTTATCAGGCCTTTTTAAAACAAGAAAGAACCATTAAAAAAAAACAAAACATAACTAACAATTCAACAATAACATTTTAAAATGATTATTCCGGATCGTATGATTATCGACACGCATTTTATAACCTAAAATAAAAAAAAATTATTAAAAATTTAAACAAAACAACAATTTTTATTAACAAATAACTCGCCTACAAAAACGCCTGATAATTATGTACCAACCCAATATTTTAACTTCCTCTTACCTAAAGGTCGCCTTGTGCATAGAAATAAACGTTATTTGAAAAAAAAATATAAACGTTACACTTGATGAATTTCGTTTGATCTTCTTTTCTATAACAGGATCTGTTGCCACCGCAGCTGTTATTGTATTTTTGTTATTTATTTAGAACAAATACAACACAAGTTCAATAAGTGTGGGTGCTCTCACCAATAGGTGTGTGTGTGTGTGTGTGGGTGTGTGTGTGTGTGTGTGTGCGCGCGCGCGCGTCGTGCAAAAGTAACCCAGTCTAATGTTTTCGCAAACGTCAGGTCGAGCCTCTAGTCCTGCCGAAGTTCAATGAAGAAGTGCTGCTGAGGAGATAGATTTTCAGGGAATAGTATGTATGTATCCTTTTAAGTGTTTCGTGGCCGCAAATGACTTGAAATAAGACTTTTTTTTAATAAGCTGCTACAGTTGTCACTAACTTTGTTTTTAATGCAAAATGAATCGTTTTAACTAAAAACAAAGTTAGTCAGTATTAACGTTTTACGAGTATTTTTTCATCTTAATTTCAGTCGCCTTTCATCGTAACTTTACAGACCATTTCTTAACGCCCATCCAGCACCAATCGAAAATAGAGAATAAGCTCTTTATAAATTAAATTTTAATTTTAAATTATTTTACTAATGAATGTAAGATTATTAAGAAAAAAGCTAATTTAATGTATGTTGGATGCTACGATGCAAAAGAACTGGAATTAAGTTAAAAAATACTCATCAAAAATTAACATCTATAATGCCAGATGACGCTAATTAACGTTTTCGCTATTTTAACTATTATGTGTCAGACGACATTAATTACGGAAAGCTCCCATTTTTTAAATATGCTCTTTTGTCTTCATTTTGTTCTCTTCACACTGCCGTAACTAATACAGGTTTTCTGGCAATGCTATTTAGTCTCTGAGGAATTATTATTGTTATAAACACGTGTATGATAGCAAGAAAAAACAAACAAAACAACAAGTACTGCCAGTGAGGCAAAAGGAAAAGAATACAATAATTGTTAATATAATTTTTTTTGTATTATCGATGCAAAAGATGTGAGCGGAATGTCTCTTTGTCGGCAAGGGAAGCGACTTGGAGGAAGGGTAGAGTTGTCCTAATCTTAGTCTGCGCAGGTCAGCAAAAAAACGAAACAAAAAAACAAAAACAAAACAAAACCCCAAAAAACATTGTCGTTAAAGATGTTAATAATGGTTGTCAATGTTTCATCTAATAAAAACCAAGGGTAGTAATATTAGTACAGATAAAATTATGGAAAGCAACATCATATTAAGATGTAACACTTCTCGCCTGGTTGGTTCCTGGTCAATGCTGTTGTTGGCCGTTGGAATTGGTCGTTCCAATCTGCGCTTCACTCCGTCCCACGTTATATTGATTCATGACAGAGCTGCAAAGATCAAATTGTCGTCAGCAATTGTAACGTTGGCTCGATCCTGGCGAAGCTATGTCACAAAGGAAAAATAAAAAAAAGTTCTTGCAGACGAAATAAAGAAAAAAAGTCTATGTCTATGTAGTTTATATCATTCTTTTTGCTGAAATATTAGTTCTTGGCACAGAAGTATTAACCCTTCCCACTTTGGATTCTATCGTGATACTTTGCTCTGTTTAACTAAGTCTGGAACAAAGTCTATGTTGGAGGTTCTCCCTGGCGACAAGTCGTGTGAGATTCGACAGAGTAGTCGTGGCTTGTCGTCTGCACGGCGGAACTGGCGTCTCTGGAACTTTTATTTGGTCGCTTCAGTATTCTGCTTATATTGACTTTTACCCAAAATATGCATGGGAGTCGACGTGGTTAGGGGACTCGGTGTTTCCCCTATCTTACAACAAAAGCTCCTTTGTTGTCTGGCTCTGAAAAATTAATTATATCTCCAAATTTGGAGAGATCCTTTTCCTATGAGTAACGGTCATAGAGTATCGCATCCACCCCGATAACTCCTTATTTGTGTCTTGTACCATCACTTCCTAATGGGAGTAGGTAAGTCCTCCGTCTTCCTCCTTCTCTCTTAGTATCTCATCTTCGCCTGTCACCTCGGTTGTCTGTTTGACGAATCTGGTCATGGCGTTGCTTTGCTTCTGGTCATTAATTAGAATTATCATTTTAATTTCTCGTTGGCAAATATTCCCAGCCTTGATTTGTTTATACCATTAGAAATTTAGCAGCTTCAGTTTCCGCCGGGTCAGTTATCTCTATATTTTGTTAGGGACATCACACTTAAAAAAACATGGGTTGGGTTTTTACATAAAGAAATTAATTTCTTCGACTTGTTTACAATTTTCGGTTTTTTATAGGCAAAATAAACCAGTTTTCCAATTCTGCCCTGTCTTTAAAATTACCAAATTTTATCTCTCAATTAGTGTTTTCGTAACTGGCACGTTTTAGGCAGCGTCATCAAACAACACTTAACCCGGCCTCTCCACATGGCCTCTGTGATAATATCTTTCCAACAAAGTCACTTTTTTTTCGAGCTGTCCCTACTATATATATATATATATATATATATATATATATATATATATATATATATATATAGGCTTTCAAAATTAAAAGTAATTTCAATCTTTCTCCTAGTCTGTCTATCGTTCTATTCTTTGACATTTTTCATCTTGTTCCAAGCATTTTTTTATTAACTTAACCCCTTTCTTTCCGTTTGCCAGTGTCACAAAAAAACATTTAAAGGATACGTATCCTAACTGATTGAGTGATTCGTTTTTTTACGGCTTATCAACCCTTTGCAGGTTAGTTAAAGCCAGAATTTGTTTTTTAGATTGTAAGATTTATTTTTTAAGGAGATAATGGTGAAATGATGCAAGTCTTATTAAATAACCCATATCTGGGGAGAAGAATTGGATTCATATCTTTTCAAAGGGTATTTGCGCCTAAGTGAATAAAACGACAATAAAGAGAATTGGAACTCGGATCTCCAATTAACAATTCCGAGCCATTATACCATCCACACATACAAGCTTACAGCACCTGCTATTTCCAAGCGGTCACCCGTCTTGGTACTGACCAGGCTCGACGTTGCTTAACTTCGGTGATTGTACAGGAACCAATGTTTCAACGTGATGTGGCCGTAAGTTACATTTATCCTAAGTGAGACAAGAGATTCTGAAAGTTAAATTCGCATTATTAGAAACGTACTTTGGGTCAGGTTGTATATTAAACTCAAAACCGGTTTGTTTGTTTGTTTGTTTGTTTTTTTTTTGTGTGTGTGTGTGTGTGTGTGTGTGCGTGCGTGCGTGTGTGTGCGTGTGTGTTAGCTTGAAATCTTGAAAAATAAATATATATAAAGTTGGTTAAGTGTGTGTGGGTGTGTGTAAATATTATTATAACCTTGGCATTAAATAAATGCGTATAGATTATTTATGTCTATCAGCATGTCTCATATTATGCCCAACACGGTTTTTGTTTAATGGAGGAAACCAATTTGCATATTCACCTTTAGAATTACATTAAACTATAATTTTCTTATTACTTTCCAATTTGGACTGTTGTAATCATTATATATAAGTGATAGTCTTTTTATGGCTTTTATTATTAAATTGTTAAGTTATTCAAATAAAACCATTTTTTACCCTGGAGTGATAACGACATCAGCATTTAGATCACAGATTGGGAGTAAACGGAAGTAATCAGTATATATAGAGCAGTAAGCAATATCGCATATCTCTCAAATAAAGAAAAGATTGCGTACCGTAACGAAGCAAATGACTGGTGTAGAGCAGCGTGTTGTAGGGCGTCTAATAACAGAAGACATACCTACGCGCGTTTAAGCTTTGATTCAAGATGATAGCAGTGCAAACTTCATGATATAGCTATGGAACTAGATGTTCCATAATTGGTGCGCCAAGAAATCATCTATGAGAAGTTTTGTAAATGAGCCATCCAGCTACACGGCAACGCCATCCAACACACAGTCAATCTGAAAAAATAGTGATTCCAGCAATACTAGTTGGGACGTTTTACCGCATCGACTACATATTCCTGATTTGATCTTTTTAGCTTTTCATTGGTCTAGGGTCCCTCAAACAATATTTATCCGGGAAAATATTTCACACAGTTGGCACCATTGTTGCAGAGGTGTACGGGTGGCGCCAGTGGCTTCACTCTGCATTCTTCTAGGTCACAAATGCACCAGTCTTGATGACTATGCGTAAAATAGCATAATAGTACCGGTAAGATATGCACAATATTTTATTTCTATAGCAGTAAACATGTTTGATTAGTAAATATTTATATTTTATTTTTCGGACACACATATGTGTGTGTGCGCGCGCGTGCGCGTGTGTGTAGCACTTTTTAATCGGGGGAGTCTATTACATAAATGTAAGAGTGTTGCCTATCTGTATGTAGCAGATGTGCAGTTAATGTAACGGTTATCAGCGCGGAAAGTGGAATCGGTCAGCAGAGTTCAAATTGTAGCTTTGTCTGTTCCGTTAACTTTTGCATAAATGCTCTTGGAAAAGGCATGAATACATCTCTTCTCCCCTCTCCAACTCTGAGTTAAATAGCAGGGTAGACTGGGTTCTCTAACCACGGATGGCAGTACACCATTCCCACATCTAAGCTTGCAACATGTGGTCGTCTCAAGCGGTCAGTCATCTAGGATTTGACCAGGCTCAACGTTGCTTAACTTGCCGATAGTACAGGAACCGGTGTACAGGCGATGTAGCCGTAAGACTTGGCAAAAATGTATATGAGGAAAAGACGAAGATTAAAGGCACGAATGGTGAGAAGTCTTGATTGCAACCGAAAGAGATTTGGGATGCAAAGTTTAATTTACGGTATCTGAAAAACTATTAATTAAAAAAAAATCTAAGTCTTTGAAGTTATTAAATTTAACTAATATTCGTAGAAGAAAATAATACCAAATGAGAAATATTGAAGTTGATAAAAATGTTATTAATTACTCTCACTACAACTCATATTTAGGCTGCCTATCTTCAACAATCGGGACTCAAGGTATGCGTTTTGGAAAAGCGGCATGTAATTGGTGGAGCTGCAGTCACAGAAGAAATAGTTCCAGGTGAGAAATCTTCATTTTCAAAATTGACTAACGAAAAAAAAAAAAGGTCGAATAAAACCAGTGATACTAATATATAAAAGAAAATGAAAATAATTTGAAAATAAGTTTTTTCTTTCTCAAATAATACTAAAATTAGTTTAACAATGCTTTAACATCTTGATTTGTTATTAAACCCAAACGACCTACCAATTCTAGAAATTGTTTTTCTTGGCTAACACTTTCAGCGATGAATCTGACTGCCTTGAAAATCGAATTCTTCAATCTTTGGAATCTACAGAAAGGAAGAAGCATGGAGATATCAGTCTTATGTAGAGAGTTATTAAAAAACGATTGAGAACTTATTGTGAACATTGCCCAGAATATGAGCACTTTGACGTAGTGTAATGATTAACAAGTTTGTCTCGCTAGATCAATTACGACTGAGTAGTGAGTACTTTCCTCACTGGATCCTCCTTACTTTCGACCTTGTGTCACATCTTAGTTACTCTTAGTAAATTGCCATTGCTCAGAATAGCAATTTCTCCATCAAACTAGCCTCGTTTATGATGGAATTCAAAGAAAGGGCGAGTTAACAAACAGAAAATATTTCTTACCTTGAAGATAAAAAGGTCAAACCGTTTTATCAGCAAATCCCCCCCCCAAAAAAAAAACGATACTGAGATAAGTATTGACCTTTACATTCTCCATAACTAAAATTTAATGAACGGATTCACAATGACGCGACAAAAGTCATGGAATAGTAGTATGTAAAGGTGATGGTTGGTGGCGCCACTGTATCTGATGTCATGGAAATGCCCGGGTCTATATCAGTGGTGTTCTGACATCTGGTGAGAATAAACACTGCCCAGACTGCTCATGTCAAGGCGACGGAATTCGAACGGAGTATGATACTACGTGCCAGACGGATGGGCCTTTCCATTACTGAAATTGTGGGGACCTCAGACTCAATACAGAGGCCTATATCAAGTACCTTGAGGAAGTAGTGCAGCCCTGGGTCAAGAAGTTGGTTGCTGGATGACCCTATGTCTGGCAACAGGACTCTGCATCATGCCACACAAACAGGCAAACTCAATCATGTCTGTCAGACAATATCTGCGACCACATTACCCTTACATTTGGCCGCCTAACTTCTTCATTGCATCCTCTTGATTATTATGTGTGGGGCGCATTTGAGCGAGGGACCAGCAAAACTTCTTGTAACAATAAAGTTGAACTGAAAGCAATGATTACGGCAGCATTCCCCAACATAAACAAGCAGTCCACCCAGAAGAGTTGCCGAAGATTCCGAAGTCGTCTGGAGGCTGTGTCTGAAGATAATGGCATTTTGATTGAATAAATTTACTCCAAAGTATTTAAAGATATTTTTGTATAATTTGAGTAAATATATCTGTTAAAATGAGATGTCAGTGTTATTTTCATTTTTGTGTAATTTATCCATCGCACTCTGTATATGGAATTTTCTATGAAAGTTCGTAATTAGACAAAATCCAGTACCTTTTTGTTGTAGTACCTTTTTCCAGATTAGTGACGTTCTAATTGGTCCACAAATTGCGGCTTAAATTAACAAGTTTGAATTAAAATTCAAGATTCAAATGAACTTTAAAGGACAAAATAGATCACAAAGACTAATTGATACATATGTACATTTTGTCAATGCTTTTTCTTTGCCATTCTTACTAAAAAAATTAAATAGTAACAAGCGAAACCTCTCTTCAAATAGAAAATTTTGATTCAACAAATTTTTAATACATTTACAATTTTATATTTTCTAAAAAAGTAAATATGCACATATTTGCAGTTACAAATACTTTTATCTTTTTTTTTAATAATTAAGTATTTATCTATTCTATCAAATTTATGTTTCAGCGATTATTTATATTTCATATTCAATTTAATTTCTTTAAATAGCTTTTTACTGATTAGCTACTTCAATAATTAAATGTATAAGTTTCTTACGGGAATATTTGTAGCACAAGGAATAATGATGGTGTAAAAATTATATGAACAAAAATAACTGACTCATTGATTTACAATGCAAAGGCAACATTTATTAAACAAAATTAACAAAAGTAAAGTTTAAAACCAGAGATTCTTTCGTGAGAAGTTAATTGTGTACACAACGAAATATTCTTGAAAATATTATTGTGTGACTTACTGTTGGTGTGCATTAATCTGAAGCGTTTCACAGTTCTTTTAGCTTCAGCGTGGAAAGTTCATGTTAACAATTTGAAAAGGGAATCCGACAGAAAAAGAGAATTACTTTAGGATTCATGTGGTTTTATATTCGAGCTGCTACTGATACAGGGTTTATTTACTTACGGTTGTTACTACTACTACTAAAGGGCGCTACAGGTGATTATTCAGACTAAAAGAATATGGTTTTTCGGGTGAATAAAACATTTGAGTTAATTTACTAATACAAACTCATGCGTCGATTTCAGTGTTTAAGTACATCCAAATACTAGGATTAAAATGATTCTAGGATTCTAATGCCGACTTTTAGAGCAGGTATGCTTTTCTGTACCTTCTTAAAAATTGGTGTTACGCTATGTTCCAACGGATGATAACTTTGCACAGTCTTTTTGTCAAATATACACAGACATGCTAGAAATCAAAATTGTCTATTTGAAGAGAGATTTACATTTTATACCTGTTAGTGATTAAGAACATTTAGTAAGACTAAAGAAGAGTGCTTTAAAAATGTACACATATATCAGGTCTCAGCAATTGAGTTGGCTAGATATAACCGTCAATTCTATGCTAACAGTTTCTTTTCTTGCACTTGTGGAACTCCTTTCGGCTTCTCGCTTTCCCGACAATTTTAATCTACAAAGTCCGATGTCAGTCGCTATCTACTGTCATCCGAATTACTCTTCCTTTGTTCTCACTCCTTAGCAATATTCCTGTTTCTAATTCTTCCACACCTAGTAACCCCTTGCGTCTCAGTGGCTTTACTGCCTTGCATGGGGCGAGCTCGATTGAAAAAAAATTATATATATTTATATACTTTTTATATTTATATATTTATATTTACAAACGCTCTATCACTGATATTGAGTAACCCATCATATATATATATATGTGTGTGTGTGTGTGTGTGTGTGTGTGTGATATATATAATTATACATATATATAATTATATATATATATATATATATATATATATATAATATATATATATATATATATATATATATATATATAATTATAAATATAATTATATATATATATATATATATATATATATATATATATATATATATATATGAAGACAGAAAATAAAACTGATCTTGGTCAAGATCAATTAACCCCACACCAACCTCACCACCACCCCACCCACCGTTTTCCCGGCACGTGACGCATTCATTTGTGTATCATTGATCACTTCTTCCGACACGGTGCAAAAAACGGCAAGGACATTTTGGTTACCTTATATATGTAAGTTCGAATGGTGTTCTCCACTGTGAGTTCCTTCTTGTTATACAGTTTGACAGACAAGAAGGAGAAAAGGCTTACCGGTGTTCAGGTGGGATGTTTGGCCTGTGAAAAAGAGACTAAGACTTGCACAATTAGACTAACTAAAGGCAACAGTCAATAAAAGATGTCCAGAATTAGTTCATAGAAAGGAGTAATATTCCATCAGGATAACGCTAGATCGTATGTTTTTGATGAGTAAAGGTAGAATTTGTTTCAGATTGGCTGGGAAATTTTCATACCTCCGCAGTATTCATTAAATGTTATACATTTGGACGTCCATTTATCCTGGTATAGAAAACTGCAAACTGCAGTTAAAATTTCACTTTACTGAGAAAGAATAATGTTCTGTGAGGATGGAATTGCCTGGAAGATTTCAAGAGGCACCGGAACAGTTATTTGCCGAGAAAGATAAAATGTTCTGGGAAGACAGAATTATTCTGAAGTTGCTTAAAAGATTTTAAATAGTGGGAAAAAAACTGTAAATATGTTTAATAAAATTAGTGCTGAAAAAATACCTTATTTTTACTAAACGAACTTTTTATGCCACCTACTACTCTATATATTTTCCTGTGCCTAATCATTCATGTCGGTTGGCCGGGGGGGGGGATTCCTTAACTAAGCGGGGATTAAAAGTTTTTTTGTGAATTTTTAGTTGGTACCGCTAGCGTCTTTTGTTTTAACGCATAAAACGCGGGGATGGAGGTGTCGGTATGAAATATATAAAAAAAAACCCTTTATGTTGCAGTGTATGTGATAATTGAACCATTGCTCTCTACGACTTCCCGTCCTTTGTAGTTCTTAGTAAGTTTTGCTTTTTTACTAACCTACCCACTCCTTGATCTGATATCCATTTACACAAGTTTGTTAGGTAGCTTACTCATTGTTTCTTTCTGTCCCTCTTGCCTTCGATATGTCCTGTAAGTGTCAAATTCTCATAGCCCTTTTCCTTGTTGTGTTCCAGAAATTTAAAACGTCTCTTTCAGAATCTAGATAAAAAAAAGAAAAAAAGTTGACCTCCCACCGACTTATTAAGGCACTAAAGCAGTGATTTTCAGCCACCGAGCCGCGCCATACTAGTGTACCGCGCGACCCCCGTAAGTGTTCTTCGAAACACTGAAATAAACTAAGTTCTAATTTTTTTTTAAATCTATGGTTTTATTTTATAACATTTATACCCTTTAAAAATGTTGCTAAGTGTGCCGTGATATTTTCATTTGCTCCTAGGTGTGCCGTTGCTTAAAAAAGTTGAGGAACACTGCACTAGAGATTATATTTATGGAAAAAAGATCCACTTTCTAAAATCAGAATTGTAATGGACAAACATAAGAAATATTAATTTTGGTAACTGGATCGGATTGTGAATGTTTCAGTACTCTTTTCATATGAGGATGATGGTTTTGTGAATAATCTTGTTTTTATTCAAATTCAGTATTTTTCTGCAAATATTTTGTCTTCTTTTCTAGGTTTCAAGTTTTCTCGTGCTTCATATTTGCTGAGCCTTTTGCGGCCACAAATCTACAAAGACTTGGAGTTGAAGGTAGAGCCACATGTAGTTTTTCTTTTAACAAATCTTTTTATTACAAGTTTTGATGACACTTTTATCTGAAATTTTTAGTGGGCTCCTGGTACATTTGTTTCGAAGACAATATTTGGCGGACTCATGTAATTCTGGTTAAAAATAACTACATAAGAAAACATGGATTTATAACAAACGACAATTAATATATGTCATTAACAAAAAGAAATTGCATTAACGTGAAAGCAAAGTAAAAGTCACTAACACTTAGCTATTAAAAATGAACTTTGTGTGTGTGTGTGTGTGTGTGTGTGTGTGTGTGTGTGTGTGTGTGTGTGTGTGTGTGATAAAAGTGTATGGAATACGCATATGTGTGTATGTACGTAAGTGAGAGGGTTGAGTTGTCGGTCGACCGGGGAAATGAATGCGCTCCAACGACAATAGCCTAGTGGATTAAAGTGTTGGTTCAGGAATTTGGTGACATAATAATTGTGAGTTCAATTCCTGGGTCGGGTAGTGTGTAGTTGGACTCAGTGGAAATGAGGCGAACAACGACTGAGCAGTACAAAAAATAAGAAAAAGAATAGATATCTGGTGGCCAGTGGAACAAGAACAATCTACTCCCATAGGGTTCAGTTCGAAATTCGTTGTAAGGTTATCCGGATCGGCATACACCTGATGACTGAAATGTCGTGATAATGATAACTCCTCAACCCAGAAGTTCACAAAAAAAAAAAAAAAAAAAAAAATAATAATAATAAATAAATAAAAAATAAATAAATTAAAAAAAATGTAGTGCTCAGTTTTCATATAACTGTTTTTTCATGCTTCACTTATTTTCTTTATGTTTTGTACGATTTTACAAGATGTATATTTTACATGTTCCAGAGTTGGATAAACAGGAAATATTTTAGGAAATATTTTACTTTAAGGCTTATTGAATACATACAATATCCACCAGCAATACTGACTTGATGGAGTTTGAAATCAATATACACTCCATGTAAGTAGAAGAAAAAACAGATGTCGACCTATTTTGTCAGAAACCTTTAAATATGCGACATATTGAAATCTAATAAAGAATCTATCTAATTGAAAATATGGATATAAGATAATGTCATAAATTAAACAAGTAGAACAAATGGTGACATTTTCAATCAAGCTACCAGAACTAGTAGTTCTTTGAATTATTTTATGTAAGAAGAAAACACAATAACAGAGAGATACAACGAGAAAACATTAACAGAAATAGAAAAAAAATAAAATAGAATAGGTGCTTTCTAGAAATCGTCATTCAAATTTTTAATCAGGAAACATGACTGGATCTTTTTAAAAGAGTAACAATACTTTTGTTTGATGCGAACAGTCACGAGATGACGGTCTAGTGATATATGCCGCTCATCCTACCGAGTGAGGGATCAATTCCAAGAAGTTTGACTCCCTAAACACCGAGACATGGAATATTAGAACATTATAAACCAATGTGACCAGTAGGAAAATATAATACAGGAAATGAGTAGGTTAAATGTAAATATTTTAGGCGCATGTGAAACGAGGTGGGCAAACAATTTTATCATTGACAAACACAGGATCATACAAGCAAGTGGAGATAAAAATGAAAGAGGAGTAGGATTGATACTACACTAAGACATGAAGAAATGCGTTCTGGGATAGTTCTGAAAGAATTCTTATCTCTAAACTGAAAGGAAAGCCTTTCAACATATCCACCATCGTTGTTTATATACCGACAACACAAAGTACAGAAGAAGAAATTGAAAAATTCTATTCTACACTAGACAACACCAAGGCTCAATGTAAATCGCAAGGAATTATAATTGTCATGTGAGACTTGAATTCCAAATTAAGCAACGAAAAGGGTGGAGAAATAGTTGGCAAATTCGGACTGGGAACCCGTAATGAACGTAATAGGTATAATGATGTATGTCGAATGACCAGGTAGTAGCCAACACATGGTTCTAAGAATACCCAAGATGTATATGGACATGGAGAAGCCCAGGATGAAAAACGAAAACCCAAATCGACTATATAACTATCAATAAGAGATTCAGGAATGTAGTTTTACACTGCAAAACATACCCAAGTGCCGACTGCGGAAGCGACTACCTTTCCATTGTTATGTAAATGTTATAGCATACCTACGGACGATAATGGGTATGTCCCCATTCATATAAATACAGGAGTAAATATCGTATGTGGGTCTGCAGTCAGAGATTCAAGGCTCTCTCGTGACCTTCAGCGCCTCGGGGTGAATGTTTGTTGTGTGCAGGAGACCCGGTTTTCTACTCAAGAGCATTCGAGAGCGATAACCCTCTATTCAGCATGTTTTGATCGTCGCTCGAAAGGTGTCTCTTGGCTAGTGAGCAAGTCTTTGAAGGCTGCGTGTACTCTTGTTTTCGTAGATCCGACGGACAGGCTTTGCGTGCTGGATGTTACCATAAAGGATAAGGCTCTTCGACTCATTGGGGTTTATGCGCCTAATAAGCATTTTGAGCGGTCTGTTTTGTTTCGGCAGATCGAGCCGTTTTTGACGACATCTCGTCGGGTAGTTTTATCGGGTGATTGGAATGCCGTCCTTGACTCCGACATAGATTGTAGTGGGCCAAATTCGGGTACTAACAACCGAGATGTGAAACCATTTCGGGACTTTATCGGCAAGTTTGATCTTGTCGATAAGTACCGGAATGAGCACCCTCGAGAGACAAATAGTGGCGGCTCGGCTGCATCGGTGCTTTCCAGCTACCTCGACCAAGTCTTAGGAGAGTCGATGTAGGGCTCATAGGGTGTCCAAAATTTCCTTATATAGCTTATTCGGATCATAGTCTTGTCCGAGTCCGTGTAAACTTAGATAAGCCTAAGGTTAGGTTGGCTGGCTACTGGAAATTGAACTGCTCATTATTTTTCGGGACTAATGATAGAGAGGGAATTGACTGGGAATGCCCAGTGGGACAAATTAAAATAAAAAATTAGAACGTTTACTGCTGATATTAGTCGTCGACTCAATCTAGATAGATCAGCGGCACAAGCGGCTTGTGAGCAAAAAGTCAACCAGGCAGTTATATCCCGTGATAGTGGGGAAATAGCCTTATCTAAGGCAGAGTTGTCCTCCTTGCTTATCAAGAAGGATCAAGCTCTGGTAGTTAGGACTAGGTTAAAAAGAATGTCCTCTGAGGCGACGAATATGGCCGCTGAATTGCGTACAGAGGAGAATCGGAGCGCGTCTCGGCGACATATCGCGTGCGTCATATTGTCGGATAAGCGGACCATGACTACAAACGCGGGCATATGTGAGGCTTTTCTGGACTACTTTCAGGAACTTTTCACCAGAGAACCCGGTCTAAGCCCTGCTCAGTTCGACGCCTATTTAGCCGACTTTCCTGCCTTGAGGCAGCTGAAGCGGCTGGGCGCGATGGTCCCATCACAGAGTCGGAAATCTGGGAAGCGCTGAAACAGGTTGGCCTGGATAAATCTCCGGGACTATATGGTTACTTGAGGCAGTCGCCCGTTTTTGTTCCTTTCCTGAAACTGGTTTACAACAACTAGATAAAGTAGGGGTCTATACCTCAACACTTCACCAGGGGTATGATCAAGTTGCTGCGCAAGGACAAGAACGATGGGGATAGGTTAGGTAACTTTCGCCCTTTAACCATGTTAAATACAGAGTTGAAGATCTTGGCAAAGATCTTAGCCAACCGTTTGCACCTTGTCCTGTCTAGTCTGATTGACTCCGAACAGACTGTGCTGTGAAGGGCAGGACTATTCAGGAAAACCTTCATATGGCACGCTTGATTTTAGAACAAGTCGAGAGTGAAGCCGCGCTGATTAATTTAGATCAATCCAAGGTCTTCGATAGGGTTGACCATCGATTCCTGGAGGCTGTCCTTTCGGCGGCTGGTTTCGGGCCGGACTTACGCACCTGGATCAGACCTGTATGCGTCTCCCGGTGCGCTGGTGGAAGTGTATGGGGTAAGATCGGAGCCTTTCGTATTGTCTCGCTCCATTCGTCAAGTTTGTCCACTTTTGCTTTTGCTTTACGTTCTTGTGTTGGATCCTTTCCTTCGCAAGTTAAAGACGAATCCGGTTCCACGCGTAATTTCCCTAACTGGTGCTACCAACTCGGTCAGGTATTCTGCCTATGCTGATGACGTTTCGGTTCCTGTGTCGAGCAGAGCCGATATTGACGAAGTTAGCAAAGAAATCAGTGGTTATGAGATGGTGACAGGGGCCAAGATCAACCGCGATAAGTCTGTTGGCTTGCGGTTGGGTGCGTGGAAGGGAGTTTCTCTTCCCGGACCTTTCCTCTGGACGGATGGGTTGGTCAAGATTCTTGGCGTCTGGTTCGGTCCTGATATCCAGCTGGATATGAATTGGTCGGAGGTACAAGAGAAGGCCGAAATCGCAGTTGATCTGTGGTCTCGGAGGAATCTTTCCTTGAAGGGGAGAGCGGAAGTATGTCTTTCAGACATCTACCCGTTTCTCCTTTACCGACTCTCTGTACTTCTACTTCCGTATGCCACACTAATGTCATTAGTAAGGCTCTTTCTTGTGGAGAGGTAAGGCCGCTATGGCATCTCTGGATATCTGTTGCCTTTATCCACCACAAGGCGGTCTGGGTATGCCTAACATTGAGATTCGTCCATGTATGCTACGCATCGTGTTCCTAGATTGAATGTGTCTCGAATCGAATGAGGAGGGAGCCTTCTGGAAGAAGATGCCCGTAAGAACTTCCCATCCCTGAGAAGTGTGCACTCGAGCGAGGAGGTGGCCCACCGTTTACCCCGAGCCGAATGCTGCTTCTATCGCGGATGTCGTTGTGCTCTGAAACAGCTCTTATGGGCGTCGGATGGCCTCTCCAATGTCCAGGCGTTGTCTCGTAGGGCATTATATCAAGTGTTAGTCAGGAGGTCCGTTCGTGATGATCTGATTGACGAGCTCGGTCTTACGAAGCAGGAGGCTCGCTCAATATGGGCACCCGGGTTGAAATGCCTCAATAACGATAAGGC